GTTCTTATTTAATTTGTTGGCAATTCCCACATAGTCTAACACAAAGCCATCTTCTGGAGTTTTTTCTCAATTTGTCATGCCTTTTATACCTACTCCCACTATTCTATTCAACTTTGAGTTGTGGATCCCCCAGCAAAGCTGTGGGCCTTTTCTTACAAGGGAATGTTTAAGTGCTAACTTGGCTTTATCTCCCATTTCTTTTTTCTAGCCCAAAGAACTTTAAAAACTTTATTCAACTGTTTCTTGACATCTTCATTTTGGATAAGTTACTAAAATCTCAAGTTTTAATGTCCAAGACCAAAATCTTGGTTTCCTTTCCTAACTGTTGCTTTTAGTCATTGCCACTCAAAAAAAGGCCATCACCTTCACCCAACAGTTCAAGTCAGAAGGTTTGGGATTAGAACTGGTTCCTCCTTTTCCTTCGTAGCCTATGTCTTAGTGTTTGCTGTTGTAGTGACTGAGTATTTGAAACTGGCTGTTTATAGAGAACAGCTTTATGTGGGCTCGTGGATCTGAGGGTTCCAAGTTGAAGATTAGCTGGCCACGTCTTGTGCTCCATCCTAACATGGTGGGAATATGGAAGGGCAAACAGAATGTAAGAGGAGCTGATTTGATTTGTAACAACCTCTCCAAGAACTAATCTGTCCCTGGGAGAAAGTCCAGTCTCTTAAGAAAGTCAAAATTCCCCTACCTTTCAGTACCGCTGTTTGGCAGTCAAATTCCAGTGGTGAGTTTTTGTGGGGATGAATCCCACCTAAATGATGGTACCCCACACCCCATCATTCTACCTGTCAACTCTATCACCAGTCTTTCTCTCCTATTAATGAAAGCTGTCAACCCGTGCCACTGCCAAGCATCTTCCTCCTATTCCTGCTTTCCAATAGAAACCAGAACAATAGTTCAAAAACATTACTTCACTTTAAAATGAAATCCCAACATCTGACATTGGGCAAAAGGTTCAGGCATGCCAGGGACCTAACTAGTTTTCAGCTTTTGCTTCAACTGCTTTTTTGCCTTTAGTTCTATTTCCCAAGCCTTTTAATATGTACACATAAAACATCTGCACTGTATGAGGGGTTGATTTGTCATTCTTTTTTTTTCTGGTGACCCTGGGTGAGTCCTCCAGCATCAAGCAACAACCCAAGCCCTGCCAGTACTGTTTCCTTAGCAGCATACTGTTATGGTTTGTGTCTGGGTGTCCCCCCAAAGCCACATGCAGTTAGGGAGGTGGGTCTCTCATGCTTCAATGCTGGCATAATGGGTGTGAATGCCACATCCAAGTGGGTGAGGCCTATATACAAGTGTAAGGGACAGAAAGTCTCCTCTCTGTGCTCCTCCCCTTTTACTCGTTACTTGTGCTGTTTTCCACCACCATGAACTGTTGCCCTCTGCCATATGCCACCCTGCCTTGGAGCCAGCTGATTATGGACGAAACCTCCAAAAACTGTAAGCTAAATCAACTTCTCCTTTTTTAATTTGGATGTTGGGTGCTTTGTCTCATCAATGAGAGAAAAGTAACCAAAATACATACCAAGTGAGACTGTTCTCTATGAGCCAGGAAAACGTGGCTAACAGTAATGTTTGGTAAAACACGCATTCTAGCATCCAAATGTCTAAACAGGGCTAAGCCACTTCTCCAGATCACCTGAGTTACAATAAATGTGCGGCTGCCCTGATCTCCCAAAGACAAAGACTTCTCTTACTCTTTCTGTATGCAGCACATCTTTATTGAATTCCCTCACACACCAGATGTATGTAATGAAATTGTATTTACATTTAGCACCAATTTTTGGAAAATTCTATTATAAAAATGATAATGGTTCCTGATTGCCACTTGTCTATAAAAAAATACCAGACTAGAAACCCTTGAAGAAAAGCATCAGACCTCATTTGGCCCCGATTTCACTACAATTACGGCTATGGACAAGTCTTAACTCTAGGTAGCAGTTTTAAGGAAGGAGAAGAGGATGACGGGGAGGCACAGCAGGAGGAAGGGAGGAAGCGCCTGGACATCTCCAAAGTCCTCACCATTAGAAAATGTCTTGGTCCTGTTGAAAAGAACTTGCCCTAGGCCTGCAAAGCAGAATAATAACAGCTACCCTTTGATAGGCGCTAATTACTGAGTCACACTGTATCAAAAGCTTTGCTGAGGCATCTCATTTAAGAAGTATGACCTTAGAATTATTAACCTCCCACTTCTTAGGTAAGAAAAACTGAGGCCAAAAGACACACTCGATGAGGTTAGTTGACACAATCCTCTCAGTCACCAGAGAGAAATATTGGAGAAAAATGTCTGAATTCATGAAATGTAAGTAACAGTGAGATGCTTTAAAAAATGAAACACTCAGCAGTGTTCAGTCTTCAGGACACCTGTGCCACCCACCAGTGCCACTGTCACCACACAGAACACATGTCTCCCCAGCCTCCCAGGCCAGCCACCCTCACATACCACATCAAAAGGCAGGATTTCAGAACACAGGCCAAGCACTGACTGGAAAGCTCAAAGAAAGATCGGATAGAGTTGAAAGAATAAGCCCAAACTAATCTCCAGGTAAGTAAAATGATACTGGAATTCAGGAGACTACTGCACATTATCCCATATTCAATATTAAAAGGATTATCAAACAAGCTATGTACGGAAATAATGTATAAAAATCCCATTTTAAAAAGTGGCGTTGAATGTTGTAATTTCTTCACAAAAATTAACAAAAATCTAATGAGTTAAGTATCAAGAATCAAACTAATTATTGGTTTTTTGAGACAGTGCCTCATTACGTAGTTCAGGCTGGCTTTGAACTCACTTTGTAGCCCAGGCTGGCCTCAAACTTGCAGTAATCTTTTTGCCTCAGCCTCCCAAGTGCTGGGATTTCAGGTTCGAGCCACTATGCCCAGTGTTGAGAACTAAACTATTTATTATCTGTCTGTGAGCTTCTGCCTGGGTGTTTTTGTCCTATACAGTCTGAGTGCTTTTGACTGACACCAAATACACTTGCACATTTTTAAACTGGTAAAGTAACACCTTGACAAAGCCAGCTTCTAGAGCTAAACTTAAACCAGCTCATGATATAAATTCTTTCTACCATGAGTTAACAGACACCCATGAGTAGTTTAAAAGAATATTGTAAAGTATATCTATCTCAGTTAGTCTACAAAAAATACTTGATTTCCCGAGCCCAAAGATCAAGTACTGAGCACAAAAATTAGTCTGAGATAACCAAGGAAATCACCGTGTTGTTAGGTTTTGTCTTTATTAGATAATTTGTCTTAAGTGTACAGGGAAGGAGGGAAACTCCTCTATTTTCTCTATAGCTTCCTACAGGTCGTGTAGGTTAAGAATCCTGCAGCAAGGCTGACTCACCGACAGCACGGCACACGCACACCTGCCAACTCCCCATCCACAGGGCGGGTGAGCTCTGGAAATCAGACCTCTAAACAGCATCATCTTTACCATCATGTAGGGCACTGGAAAGCAATTACTAATATGCTGGCTCTTAACCAGGGACTCTACCTCCCCCTAAATTACAATATATTTTTAAAGAGCACATTATAATTACATCTTTGATATTTTATCTATAGATCAAGAAAAGTGTGACACATTAAGAAATCCCATTGTTATTGATAGTGTGGGAAGTCTCTTTTTTTTTAGATTTTAAATAAAAATATATGTATATAACTTTAGCGATATATAAATGAACAGCCATCCTAAAGGAGAACAGATGGCAATAAACAAAAAATAGGCAAATAAGTCACAAAGTAAAATAGCACATACTAATAACATAATTACTGAGATAACTGCACATGTCTTACACATGCTTTTTAGGCATGTGAGGGTTTGGTGCACAGACATTCACATGTGTATACCCGGGAAAACACTTGGAAGAAGTGACACTGAGTTGTGTGTAATGGTTAACGCTGAGAATGGGACTAGGGACTGTTTCTCTTTTTGCCCATCTGTATCATCATCATCATCATCATCATCTTCTTCTTCTTCTTCTTCTTTTTCTTTTTTACAGTGAATGTAATATTTTCTTTTTATTTTATTTTATTTTTTTTTTTTTGTCTTTTTCATTTTTATTGGTACCAGGGATCGAACTCACGACCGCCTGCTTGCAAGGCAGGCGCTTATGCCACTGAACTAAATCCCCAGCCCCATAAAGGAAAACAAATCACTATGAGATATATTTTAAAAGGATGAGAAGTTGGCAGCAGTGTATGTCACCATGTATAAAATTAGGGTAAGCCAGGAGAAATTAATGAAATTTTACAATGCATGACATAATTCAATAAATTTTGAACAAATGTGTGGAATGTATTTTGGATGGTCTAGCTTCATCAAGGATGAACATCATATCCTAAGTAGTTCACAAAGACAGCACAGCAGCCGTCCAGCACGGCCAGACAGAGGTCCAGTGCACGGTCCCCGCAAACAGAGAGGGAGACATGCCCTGAACCACCAGGCCCAGTGAAACAAAGGCCACCCACCAGAGCCACAGTGAGAGCTTGCGATCCCAAGTGCAGACAGGGGCTCCACCTGCTTTGCACACAGGAAACTGTGGATCTTCTGGCTGACCAGAAACAAAGGGTCTTAAGGATGGCCAATCCCAGAGCATAAAACGCCTCCTACAACATGTCCTAAAGCAAGTATTTCCCAGCCGCAGAGAAATGCGTTTTCCCTGACCACTGCATCCACAGGGAGCGAGTCGTAACTGCCAGATCCCCAGTCCTTTCTTTTTTTTAAACTCTGAGACATGTTCTTGCTAAGTCTTACTAAGTTGCCTAGGTTGGCTTGAACTTGCGATCCTTTTGCCTCTGTGTTAGGATTACAAGTGTATACCACCTGGCTGGCCTAAGGGTTATTTTTTAATTTCAAAGAAAAAGTAATGATTAAGAAAGACCATTTCTGTTTCACAAATATAAATCTTCCCATCTACCTGAGACGTATAAAAACAGCACAAGAATTAGACACAAATCTTAATCAATTGAGCCACAAGAGCAAGGTATTTCGTAGAAAGTTGTTTTATTCGCAGAACAGCATGGTTCCTATGTTTAGATCTGTTTATGGTGCTATTTTTACAAGTAGCAAAGTCCCTCCAGGTGAACAGACATGAATTCAGAAAGCTGCACACTGCCACACCGCCCCCACCCCAGCCGGCCAGGGTCACTGTGGAAGTAGCCATGGTCGCCTCTGCCACCTGCTCCTCAGCTTGAGCGCTCTGCTCAGTCCTCCTCCTGCTGATTTCTTTTCTGCAATGGAAACCAAGAGTCCACTGAATCAGCTCAGGCTCACTGGGACATCCGCTGAGCCAAAACCCTGGTTTAATTATCGAGGAGTCTTAGAAAAAACATGCTTAGAATGATCATGGAAAGACAGGCCTTCTCTGACTCATTAAATTGAGTTAGCACTTTGATTTTGGGGGCAAATTATCTTCAAATTATTTTCTTCCAGCCATCCAAAAACAGGCAGAGAAACAGAAAATTCCTATTTCCCCGAGCCACCACAAAAGACTTGTGCTCATGGCCTTATGACAATATACAGAGTTTCTTTAAAGTCAGAATTTAAAAAATGTTTCAAAAAGCATATATCAATCTAATCAATAAATATTCCTTCAGTTCTCATTTCATGTTTTATTATAGAATGACCCAACTCAGTTAATTCTAACTCTTTAATTCATTATCATCAAATAAGTCTAGGTGGTCCAGGACTAAAAGAGAATATTAAAAAGCCCACCTGAAAACCAATTGGGGAAGACAACCAGCTGTCTAAATACACCTATATACTCACCAGCTTAAGAAAATCGATGAGCTTGTGAGCATCTTCCCCGGTGGACAGGTCCACAAAGTCCTTGGGCAGCCCGTAGCTCAGATAGGGGCTGGGTTGTACCGTGGCCTCGCTGTTTGTGCAACGGAAAGCTGGAGAATCCTTTACAAAGGGAAAACAGCAAAGTCCACAGTTCTTTTAGGTCTGCTCCTCAAACTAAAAAATACCCTAGCATACAACTTCAATGCCATGCTCTCTCCTGTACTAGGAAAGGAGGAAAATAAGATTCCCAAGTAAAAGGGCATCAATATTTAAAAACGATTCCATGCATTCACTAGGACAACAGTGTGAGGCATTTGAAAAGCTTCTGATGGAGAGCTACGTTCATCTCAGAAGGCCTCCAGTGCGCAGGTGACCACAGCTTGCATCAGCCACTGATCGAGCCTAGGCTCTGCTCCCTTATCTAGGCTGCAAGCAAGCTCAGAGGCCAGACCACTACTACAGGCACACAGCTGGGAAGTGGTCCTAGAGAATCCCTAACAGTGGGGGCAAATGTGTGCTCTGAACCCTCTGTCTCTTCTGCACTTAGGTCACCTGTGTATCTCTCTCATCACCTCCATCCAACTGCAAAGTCAACATTCATATTTAACAGGTCTTCGCATTCATTCTTTGATGTACTGGCTTGATGTAATATTTACATGTTGTCTTTGGTCAAAAAAGGATTTCAGAGACCGAGAAGCCTAGGGCTTGGACTTCCTGGGTGGCAGACACTCAGGACAGCAGTGCTGGTATCCATCAAAGGCAGACAACGTGAGGACCTAAATGGACGCAGACACAGAGCCCTGAAGACCTGGTCTTAGCTTCTGACAGGCTAGTCTGCGGTTAGGAGTTACACGACATCTGCTCTGTGCTGACCTCTTTCTGGGGACATAACCTGACCAGTGAGACCGAGTGAGACCAGGACACAGCCAATAAGCAAGCGAACAATTGCCAAGACCATTTCAGGTGCTAAAAAGCGTCATGGAGAAAGAACCAGGGTGACATACTAACAGGACAACACTGTGGACTCCTGCAGAGGGTAGTCACACAGGATCCTGCTAAGAAGGGGCTGCTGGGCTGAGACCTGAGCAGGTGACCAAGGCGGCCCGCGGGGGCCTGCCAGCAGAGCACTGTGATGACTGGCCAAGGCCTGGAGGCAAAGCCGGGCTTTTCTGGGGTGGAAGGGAAGGAAGCCCAGGTCTCTGTGGCCTGCGCCTGGGTAGAGGAGCAGGAGGGAGTGGCAGGGAAACAGCCAGGAACCAGTTCCTTTCCCCACCAACCTTGAACCTCTAATATTTAGAAGAAATAAGTAAACAAAGGATTTGAGTTACAAAGATAACTGTGTCCCTCACATTTGCAGCGCCCCACCCCGCGGACGCACTGCGCCTCTCTCCTCGCCCACTGAAGCCGAGGGTCCACTGCAGAACGCGCCTGGCAGTGGGCAACTTAAACAGGCGCCCTGCGGCGGCGGGGTGGGGGGGGGGTGCAGAGTTGACCCTGAACGGGCCAAGCATAGAGGGCTGACGCAGGAGATGCGGATCAGATGGGCCAAGGGAAGCTATGCCGAGGGAGGTGGGGCAGCAGCCAGGACACAGGAGGCGCCAGGGAAGACGACGGGGGAGAAGGCACCAGCACGGCACCAGAATTTTCTTTAGAAATAAGCATGGGGTAGGCCAGGTAAGGCAGGCTTGTAATTCCAGCTCTCTGGGAGGCCGAGGCAGGAGAACTGAAGCCCTGCCAGGCAATTTAGTAATGCCCTGCCTCAAAATGAAAAAGGGTAGAGACGCAGCTGAGTGTGAAGGCCCTGAGCTGCAAAAATAAAACAAAACAACACATGCTGAAAAAACAAGGTATGTATTACCTGTATATGTAAAATAACTCCTGTATATGTACAAAACCTGTATATGTAATATACACCTGTATATGTAAAAAAAACTCCAAATGTTTGATTAAAGAAAACCTGGCTGTGAGGTGGGATACAGGAGAAAGTGCTGTGCAGCGAGGGCTCCTTCTTGACAGGAAGGATGCATCTCCGGACGGGTAGGAGAGGGAAGAGGATGAAGAAACAGGACAGCTGGCCAAGCAGGGTGGAGATGTGAAGCCGAGTGGCCATGTGGAGGCTGCAGGGGCAACGGGTACCCGGGCTGAGGGCAGTTCTGCCACTAGACTCTCTTTCCCAGGACAGACTTGCTGAGAGCAAGGGCAGGAGGGATTGGAGGGCAGGCCCAGGGTGGGTGGAGCAGCTGGGACGGGTACTGTGGGCAGTGGACAGGAAAGCTGCCAGGGAGGCTCATCAGGAGACCAGAAGCCACACGACTCCCTGAGCACGGAGGGCCCTGGTCACCAGCTGTGCGCAGGAGCTGAGGCTCAGAGCGACCTACACGCCAGTGGCTCGAGATTGTGGAGGACAGGACGGAAGATAAGGGAAATAACCGAACAGTGGTTACAGGGCCCATTCTTGCTCTTGATCTATTATAGATTCCTAAGGTTCGAGGGAAGAACACCAGTGTGTGCCCTGCTTCCATCAGCCCTGGGCACCTGTGTCACCTGCGTGACCTGAGTGTCCAACTCAGTGCCACTCAGGGCCAAACAAGCAAGCAAGAGAGCCATCCACGAGGACTTCCGGGAGAACATGGCGGACAGATAACAGCAACTACCGGAGGCTCTCTGAAAGACTCAGCTCAGAAGCCAGGAATGGTGCGGACTAAAGAGACATAAGCAGGTGGAGATATGCTCTGCTGACTCAGGAACGAACTGGGCTGAGAGAAACCAACTTGGAATGCATTCCTGGTGCTAAAACAGGAACAGAAAAGCCTCGGTGTGGAGGCTGGACCCCGCGCCATTGTAAGCCGCCATTTGGGTTTCCCGCCGCACGGTGGCTGGCTGCCTCTACAGTGGCTCGGCAAGGAGAGAGACGCACAGAAGCTCTGAGAACGGCAATCTGCGAACAGCAGGGAGGCGTGCACTGACTTGTGGTGAGGTGAGTGAGAGAAGCTGACACTCTACCACAGTTTGACTCCAGTGGAGGACATTCTGGGCCCGGGCAGTCCTGCGGGAGCAGGGCACGGTGGCGACTTCAGCCACACATCCCCCTCTCAGGCGGGATTGGTGAAAAGTGCCTGGCCTGCGTGACGCTGCCAGCGGACCTGGTAGGCTGTCCCAACCCAGATCCCAGAGCCTGACGGTGGCCGGGAGGGGAGACGCGTAGGCTGCCTGGTCCGTAACTCCCTGGTGCGCAGCGGTAAGCGGGAACACCTAACTGGCGCAATTCGATCAGGCTGTGGCTGACTGGGAGAGAAGCTGGGCCTCTTATATAAGCTTGCATATATAAGGAACAGAGAAGAGAGGCAGCATGGGAAGAGGCAGCAACAAGAAAGGCTCCTCGGCCCCCAATTCTGAGAAACAGGCAATAGCAGACACCGCACCAATATACATAAGGCACCATATAGAGAGCCTCATAGACCAATTCAGGAATGAAGTTATCAACGACCTGAAGCTAGAAGTATGCAGAATAGTTAGAGAAATGCTAAGTACCACCCAAGAAAAAACAGGCAATGGAATGGAAGAACAGAAAAAAAGGGGAGAATTGTTTGATGGAGAAAACAGAGAAAGCATAGAATACGTGAAGCAGGTTCAAAGGGACTACCAAGATACTAAGAAGTCTATAGAAGACTGGCATAACAGCTTGAAAGAAACTAAGGACAGACTATCTGAACTGGAGGGCAGACTTGTAATATGGGAGAATGAAATGAAAAACTTCTTAAAAATAACAAAGAAACAAACAGCAATAATACAAAGACAAGAAGATGATAAGAGGATCCATAACTTAAGGATTAAGAACATAAAAGAAGAAGTAGGGACACAAACAAGTGAACTACAAAAGCTACTCACAGAAATAATCCAGGAGAATTTTCCTAATTTAGCAAAAGGTAAAGATACTCAGATGTATGAGGCATACAGGACCCCAGCTACCTACAACCCAAACAGAGCAACACCCAGGCATATAATAATAAAAATTCCAGAAATTCAATACAAGAACAGAATATTAAAAGCTGTAAGAGACAAGAAACAGACCACTTACAAGGGAACACCCATCAGAATTACAGCAGATTTCTCGGCACAAACCATCAAATCACGAAGAGCGTGGGGGTAAATAATTCAAGCTTTGAAAGATAATAATCTCCAGCCAAGATTGAGATATCCTGCACAACTGTCCCTGGAAATTGATGGAAAAACAAGGTGCTTCCAGGATAAAGAGGAACTGGGGGAATTTGCAACCACCAATTCAACTCTACAGAGAGTATTGCAGGATATTCTAAAAAAAGAAAAATACAAAGAATCCAGAAATAATGGCAGAGAGGCCACAACGAATGGAGTAGAGAACAAAATGAAGAAGACAAACTGACAGCTACTGACAGAAAAAGAGCTCAACAGAAATGAGGCAGAGAAGATTGGATTATAGGAACAGCTATTTTGGAGAAAATGACATCTTAATAGGTAATACTGATTTAGTATCATCTTGTTTTGAAGTCTCATCTAGCTTTTGTCCTTCTGTCTCCAATGGTCTAAATAGGTTGTATCTTACTGGATTTTATTATGTACGATAGTATAAGCAAAAACCTTGTAAAGACAAGGAGATTATACAGAAACCATTATTCATTTTCTGTTAGTCGATTCTAAATACTCTGTAATGCTGTCATTCTCTTGAATGGTTTTACATTGTTTTGATATACTTAATGCTACAGTATACGAAGTTGTACTCAAGGATTTCAAAGAAAGAGACAATATGGTAACTACTTTTAGGTTAGGATTATCTGGTGGTGAATCACTATTCTGCTTAAATGGTTATGTTTTGATCTGCGCTGTTTTGTTGTTATGCCCTCTTTTATCTCAATCTCCACTCCATTATTTACTTTTTTATCTTTATCCTTTTAATTAAAGGAAAAAATAGCAGGATATATTATAGTAACCCACTTTGACTTTTCATTACCTTGATTTAAAGCCCTGTATTACTCTCACCATCTGGTTTTTAACTGATGTTCCCCTATTCTGTTTTGCTGGATAGTATCAGGTTCGAAAGTTTAGGCATCAGCTGTGAAGATAATGAGATTCATTATGACGCCCATTCTTGTTGACTTTTATCTACTTTTGAAGACCTACAATGTCTCCAATGTTTTGGTTTTGTCGGTTTTATTCTTTACTGTTTTGTTCAATTGTATTATAACTAACGATATAGGCAATTCTATTAGAGATAGCGGGAGGCATTATAGTAACCATTGTTGATCACCTTGTATTATGTTTTTACATTATCTATTATGTCCACCCTTTTGACTTGACCGATTCTGTTCTGTTATGTCACATTTGGTTTTACTCTCTTCCAAAAAAGTAATAAGAACCGTGGGAGCAATGAAACCCAAAATGTGTAACAGTCATGGTACAAAAGAGAGGAAAAGAAAGTGCTCCAAACTATATAACTGCATGTATATTTAAGTGTATAAGATAGAAAATGATATCACAGAGTTTTATTGGATCAATGAACAGAACTGTTTGCAGTATCATTGATGGAATGTCCACTTTACAAGCTTTAATTTTGTGACTTGAACAATTATTTCTAAGATGACAATATGTAATCCATTAACTAGTGATTTCCTACTGTTCATTTTTTTTCTGTAAATCTGTATAACTTGTACCCTTTCCCTGTTTTTTTTTTCTTTTCTCCTTAAATAAAATTAAAAAAAAAAAAAAAAAAAGAAAGAGAGCGATCCACAGTAGGTTACAAAGGTTTTCTTTGTATGTTTTTAAAAAATGTCTTACCTGCTCCTGAGCATCTCTTTCACTAAAATCACCATTTAAGTTTCTCTCAGATATCAGTTCTTCCCACGTGAACAGCAGCGAGTCTGTGACTTCACCAAATGGATTGAAGTCAATCAGCCACACCTTCCCCTGTAATATGGACACCATACAAAAATTAACAGGCACAAAAGAAAAGCACAGTCTACAGTCTGTTTGCTAAAAAGATGTTCTTGATGTCACCTTCCCCCAAAGACCGAGCTGTACTGTGACTTATGGCACAGAATAGGCCCTCTAGGGCCCACGTGTGAAAGGGCCACTTGTCCAACACTTGTCCACAGAAAGCAGAAGGGGAGGTTGTGTATGTGCGGCGACAAAGAAGCAGCCCGGGAGGGAAGGGCCAGCTTCTGACCCCTGCTTAAACATTACAATTTTAAGTGAAAAATCCAAGCAGGAGAGAGGGGATCTCACTCTAACAGCTCACGTGCCACACACAGCAGGACCGAAACGCCTCTGGGGGCGCTCAGCAAGACCTGCAGGAAGAAGCCCGCAGCTCCCGAGAGCACCAGCTCCTCCCGAAGGTCTGCCGTGCTGGTAAGAATGCTTCCCTGTCTGCACTCAGAACACAGGGGAAAGGGGCTGAACTTGGTTTGGAAATGCTTAGTCTCCTTTAATGTCCATGTAGTACTTGTTCAGTGCGTGACAGGGCTGGACGCACATGAGTGAAGGGGAGAAGAGAAAAGCGTGTGAACCTTTGAAATCTCAACCAGTCCTACTCTAGGCACTCAGGCTGGCCTCCAGGAGAGGACACCTGGCCTGCTCAGCCTGCTCCGAGTTAGGGTCCAGAGCACCCGAGTGGGGACAGGCCCTGGCCCAAGCTCCCTGGGCTCCCTGGGCTCCCTGGGCTCAGGGACTCGTGGGGCTCCGTCAGCATGCAGGAGCACAGGGAGAGAAATGTTTCCTTCAAATGTTTGTCTTTGCTCCTCTTGGTTTTCTGACTGATACAGTCATGTATTTGTACTGCTTTGTTGTTAGTAATGAGCGGATTTTTTTTGTGGCAGCAGAGCTGTCACATCCTGAGACGTGTAAAGCTGGCCGTGCCACAGGAGAGACTGCTGAGCAAGCATCATCAATACCTAAGACTGTGGCACCTGGGTTAAAGCAAAGTTTCGGGAAAGACACCTGGTTAGAACCTGCTTCAAACATCGGAAACCTCTCTCTAGTCACAGAATCACCATGAGAAGTGCCACCATACACCAGGCAAGGTCTGCATTTTATCCAACCTCCACAAGCAACCCTGAAAAAACTCCTGAGTTGTTTGCTACGATGCATCAGCTCAGCACCAGACTCCGCATTTTTGGGTGTATGAAATAACATCAGTCCATCAGTCCGCTTCCTGGCTTGATGGCAGCTGTGCCTTGGGGAACCACTGTGCAGACGCCTTGGATGTACTGTATGTTACTCTGAGAAAATGGATACCTTTTTAACCCCCAAATCCTTTCTACTGGAGTTTTCATAACCACTAAAACTATCTCAATATAATGGGGAGGGGGTGTCTGTTAGTAGAGGAACACTGAGCTCTATGAACTAAACATATGCCACACTGCAAAAAGCAAACCACACTGAACGGCAAGCCAACTGATCAGTGTTAAGTCTCTTCTATGGTCCAGAGCCATTCTCTGCCACCAGAGCAAAACAACAGTCAACAACTGCTAGTCAGACATAAACTATGAGGCTCAGAATTCTGCAGCTATAACATGCTCTTCCTGTGACAATTCCTGAGAATTAATCTTGTTTTAGGGAAATTACTAAAAAAAGGGCAGCAAGACAAATGCTCCCTGTGTTGACCTATGACTACCCACCCAAATAAATCTGCACCAGACACTGAGAGGGGTATTATGAGATGCTGGTGGAACACAAGGGGACCCAAATCCAGGAGCGGCTGACGCACCAGTCTGGGCTACACTAACACGTTCAAGGCCAGCCTGGGCTCTACAGTGAGACCACGTCTTAAACAAATTAGAACTGGGGCCAGGGGTTTGGCTCAGCAGCACAAGTGCCTTACAAGCACAAGGTCATGAGTTCAATCCCTGGTACCAAAAACAAACAAACAAAAATCACAAAAACCCTGACTTGTACAAAGATCTTCTGATTTGAGTGTAAAATATATTGAGGACCTCTGCAATCAGGTTACTAACTTCACTTCTCATTTCCTAAGGTAACTTTAAAGACTTCCTGTTTCAAAACTGGTAAAATTCAAATTAAAATAAGCCTTTTAAATCTATAAATGTATTAGAAGGAAAAAAAAAAGAAATCACCAGGCACTAGGAAGCAAGAGGAAGCTAAGAACAGAGGCAAGGGTACAACCTGAGCTGTGGGAACCTGCGAGAGCCGCAGAGGTACACAGGTGTGGAGATGGCCGGAGGCGAGGAATTGGCCACAGAGGGCTGCAGCCCCCCCCCCCCCCCCGGGAGCCTAAGATTCTACTGATGGGAACTGGAGACGATGTCCTTGTCATTCTCTGATGAAGTTCAGCAGAAAAGCATGGGTGAAACAAATGAAGATCTGAGAGGCAGGATCTTTGGGATTCTCACGAATCTCATGAATAAATATATGAGTCCACTAAAGGTGAACTCAAAGTAAAATAAACTGATCTATAAAATCAACACAGATGAGGCTCTGCAAAATACAGCACAGATTAAAAGCCTACGGACTGGGGCGAGCCAGGCTCCACCTGAGCGACCTGAACAGAAAGACAGGAGTGCTGGGACAACCAGGTGAAAAGCTGAAAGAAGCCAGGGCTGGATCAACACTGCATCAAACAAGACAAGTGGGAAATGCAAACAGATCAGAGGCTCAAGTATAAAAGAAGAAATCATAAAAGGCCTGGACAAAAATACACAAGGATATATTTTTTTAAATTATGAATAAAATTTAGAAGCCATAAAATAAGTGAGTAGTGTATTTTATTTTCTTTGTGGCAAAAGGTCTAACCTATGTAAAATGTATAAGATGTCCTGTATGTTACAGGGAGTAAAACAAAATAAACATGAAGCAACAGCTCCGCAGAGCAGCTAGAGGGATGAAGTGCTGGTAAGAAAGCCCGAAGCGTTAACAGTGATGACTCAGGTGGAGGTAGAGGAGCAAGGTGGAAATAAAGCACCACGAATCACTCCTGGGCAGGAGTGGGTGGCAGAAATGAGTGTTTTGAGGTCTTTGTTTTGTGAGGGCAATTGGAACTGAAATTAACTTTTATTAGAGTCACATTAAGATGTAATGTTAACTACCAAAATGAGAGAAATAAAAACATCAGAACCATGGGAAGAGAGGTATGGAGACAGGGCAGCAAATTCAGTAATCTAAATAAAAGGGGAAAAAAGCAAAGCAAATAAAAGCAAGTAGAAGAGAGGTTTTAGAAAAAATATCAAATACAATAAATATAAGCCAAACTCATCAGTTAAAACCTGAAATTGTTAGTGATTAAATAAACAACCCCCAGAAAAATGCCATTTACAGCTGGGTATGGTGGTGCAGTCCTGTAATCCCAGCACCTCGGAGGCTGAGGCAGGAGGATGAGAGTTCAAGGCCAACACAGGCTACAAAATGAGACCCTACCTCAAAAAACCAACCAACAAACAAAGGTATTTACAAGATACACAACACAACAGCTAAAGGTAAAAGAATGGAAAGATAAATTCTAAGCCAAAAGTCCTGCAGCAATAGCAATTTTGACAAAATATGCCTTAATGTAAAACATACAGTGTTATTATTAGGAACTGAGAGGGGTCCCACCTGTGATGAGGACTCACTGGGAAAATGAAACCACCTTAACCAGTATTTTCCAAGAATGTAATCTGAAGGTACATTATACGAAAGCTAACAAAACCAGAAAGCAAGAAATTTTAATATAGCTTGTTTGGTAACCAGTAGCTCAGGGGGCTGGGGATTTAGCTCAGCGGCATAAGCACCTGCCTTGCAAGCAGGCGGTCGTGAGTTCAATCCCTGGTACCGGTAAAAAGGAAAAAGACAAAAAACAAAAAAACAAAACCAGTAGCTCAGGTTAAAATTAGGAAAGACAGGGTTTTTTTCCCCCACAATTTTTAGTTTTCAACCTGGAAAAGTGCCATGTGGCAGGCACCAGTGAGCTTGCTCAGTTCCCAGCAGTGTAAAACAGAAAACAAATGAAAAACAAGACCACAACAGACGGGTGTAGGAAAGCCTAAACTACTCAAGAGTAAACAGGCAACATAGAGACTTCCCTGTTCCCCACTCAGCCCAACAGGTATAAATTCCTGGCCAGTCTTGTTCCATCTACTTTTCCACGGCTTCCCCAAATGTGTGTTACTTTGAAGGAACCTTCAAGCATCATTCATCTGTCAACGTAGGAGACTTTAACGTTATTAACCAGGTGAGTGTGAAGACACCTATGCAATACTTCAAGCTTCAGAAAGTTCACTGTCAATCACAAACAGAACGTTTACAGAAGAGACGCCAAGTTGTGAGACCAATCCAAGCAATGCTATGATCAGGATCAGGTATATCCAGTCCAAAAAAGCAATCAAATTAACAATGAGAACAGTCATAACCGAGCAGAATAGTTAGGGGAACAGAATAAACCTTTAAGAATCTAAGGAAGTTATCCTGAAGTCTAGCTGTGTGTCATCATCACTTAAGGGGCTCCCAACACTGCGGCCTGCAGCACTGAATGTCCAGCCCACCCTGCCGCCTCCAGAATGCTGAGAAGTCATCCATTCACACAGTCAGCTGTGCCTTGTAAGAAAGCAGACGTCTGTGCTGCCAAGTCTATGCACAGCTCAGCTACACTGCAGGTAAGAGACCACGTACAAAACCAGAGGGAGCCGAAAACTCATCTATTCAGGAAGTGTCTGACAAACTCATACAAGTGGCACTGAGTAAATGCAAATGACTTTTTCAATATGGTTTAAATCTGCTAGCAGAAACTGTCAGGATGTTTATACTGGCGGGTTTCTCACTTGTAAAAATGTAACTAGTTTCAGTTCTGCAGGATTATACAGCAGTCATTACTTATGTGCCTGTCTAACACTCTTAAAACTTTTACTTCACAGTTAAACATCTGCCGCTACCTGTCTGCGCCACCTGTCAGCCCTACTAAGTTACAACAGACTCATACA